TTTTTGGAGACCAACAAAACAAAAAACAATTGTCAAATAATCAAAATAGGGGGGTCCAGTACTCACTGACTCCCCCTATTTTTTAGTACGTGCGCCAATGACTTGCAAACGGTATTTTTTCAGGTAATCATTTATTGTTGAACATTTTTTGTCTCTTATAAAATTTTGATAAAATGATTTGTTTTAGAGATAATTTGTAAAATATGGGTCAGTCCATATCAAATTTTCGAAATTTAATTTTTTTTTTGAAAAAATTTAGGTCATGTGATATATCATAAAAAAGGTCTCTAAAATAAGCCACCACTCACCTTTCCAATTTTAACAGTTTACGAGATATCGCTATTTTTGTAAGTACTTGCAAGACCCAAATTGATCGGAATTTTTTGATTTTCAAAAATCAATAAAACAAAAGCCACCTATCGAAAAAAACTCATATATGGGATTTTTGAGTTTTTTAGTGAGGTAAACAAATTTACCAAAAATTATCAAAATCGGAGATGGTGGGGGAAGAACCTTTGGTTGATTTGATATCTCTAAAACAAATCATTTTATCAAAATTTTATAAGAGACAAATTTTTTTAACAATAAATGATTACCTGAAAAAATACCGTTTGGAAGTCATTAGCGCTCGTACTAAAAAATAGGGGGAGTCAGTGAGTACTGAACTCCCCCTATTTTGATTATTTGACAATTGTTTTTTGTTTTGTTGGTCCTCAAAAATGTAACTATTTATGTTGAAGTAGTGTACCGAATTTAAACTTAATATCTTATTAATTACTCAAATGATTAAAAAAAATCAGTTTTAAATTTCAAACTTTGTCGCCCTGTATATCGAACATGAAGCTCTAAATTGAAAAATGGTATTATGATAGTCTTATTGTTTTAACTCAAGGAATATATGGTTAACGGATTGACCTCCTTTTCCCGGACACCCTGTATAAACAATTAGCAAATAATAAAAGTGACGAAAATAAATGTTTCATCTAATCCGATTGTAAAAAATGCGTTGTGCCTTTATCAATAACATATGGCCAGGGAGGTAGAGACAGTTTCCTGAATTGATTTATATAATTCTAGATTTTTTTTCCATGATAGTTTAGGCTGTAGCCTAGATATCTATAGACAGTAGGTATTAATAATAAAAGTGCAAGTCTAACAAATTTTTAGTGGTGCAAACATTAAACTTCGTTACGAAAATGTTTCAATACTTAATTAATGTTGATTGTGTCATTTTTGTAATTAAGGTTAATTCACACAAAATTTCCCGGATTTTTTTGACCTACAGAGATACAGGCGTCATAAACTGCGCACACCGTTTTATGTAACCTTGGTTGTAACTATGGTATTGAGGAATAAAGTAGACTTGATGTTAGATATCTGCCACCTTTAGTAACATTGAGGTTGGGTATGTGTCACTTACAGTATAACTTAGGTTAGGAATCTGTCACTGACAGTAGAATTGACGTTAGGTACTTAATCTTTTAAATTTAACATGTTTAATTTATTTCTCATGATTGTATCACTAAACTTTTGGTAGATTTGCACTTTCATCATTGATACTGTTTAAACTATCATGAAAAAAATGTAGCTTTATATTTATTAACGCGAAAAATGTCGCGGGCTTTTTTCAACTCCAAAATTTACAAGCTGTGACTTTACGGCGTTTTAGTCACGGGCTGAAGTTAGCAACAGTGGCTTTTGGACATTTTAGTGACGGGCTTAAGTTAGTTTTATTATAAATTGGGGAAAAATGAGGTAAAATCCGTTGACAGGTGTCAGAATTCAAATGTTTACAAATGTGGTCGTAGATAGTATGCACAATAACTCAAGAACGGCGAATGGTATCAAAAAGTTGCATTTATAAATGTGCAAACAATTCCTAAAACTTATGGGCCTGACAGAAATTATAGTTGAAAAGTTTGGGGAAAACTAATTCCGTAAAATAAATACACCTTGTTCATTACATGCAAAGTTTGTACCAGATTATTGTGAAGCTTGTTAAAAAAACCTCGTTATGACAAATGTGTGATTAAAAAATTTTCAACATAAAATATGTGGTTTCGTTTTTTACCTCAATTTGTAATCACCCTGTGCAAGTAAGGGGGCATCCATTAATTACGTGATTCTATTTTGGCGATTATTCGACCCCCCCACCCCTTGGAGAGATGTCGTGAGATTTTGCTCGACCCCCTCCCCCCTCCATCACTCTTATGTAAGATTTTTTTAAATGCATAGTTTTAATGTAAATAATTTAATTTGTGCTTGATTCCATTAGATTTATTTTGTTATAATTTATAATTGGCTTATAATTTTTTTTATATTTAAGACTAGGATTTAAGATTTCTAATATTATTAGTTTAACGGAGCATACACGGTGAGAAATTTCCATTAAATTTTACTATGGGTGCACTGGTACAGTCATAGAAAACCCCGAATGGGGTGCACTGGGATATATGAAACTGTCTTCAAAATTTACAACTGTCTTGTAATAAACGTATGCGCGTCAGCAACGATCGTATGGGAAACTTGTAAATTTTGAAGACAGAACTTTCTCTCACCGTTTAGAATACTATTTTAGTGTAGAAACATTTTTTACTTAATGTTACCCAGTTTTCTCGCAATTTTACACTGTTTCTTTCGGAAAAAATTACGTGATATTTGCCGAGACCACCCTGCCCCAAAGTGAGATTGGGTGAGGTTTGGCTCGACCCCCTCCCCCTCCTAAACACCTCACGTAATTAATGGATGCTAAGTAATAAATTTATTAAAAAAGTGACTTGATTTATTTATACGTAACTGGTAAGAACCATATTCACAAAAGGAAAACACTCAATTACTTTTTTTGGTCACAATAGTACATACCTCTTTAAGTAAAATCATCACAAAACAAAATTTCAAGTTACAATAAGCATTATTTCTCTAACTTAAATTTTATATAGCATTCAACTTGTTTTTACCAAACTTGCTAACAAAAATATCAAACAAATTAGGTTTTTTAAATCATTATTTGTATAGGGGAAATAAAAAACTAACATTGACATATTTTCCATAAAAATTTCCTTGATTCTATAGCAAAATTACAACAATATTTATACGGTTTGACCTTAGAACGAATAATTAGTTATCAATCATTACATTATTGTAAACAATATTAGTAATTTTCTTAAAATTTAATAATCAGTTATGGGAATTAATTAAGTTAACAGGATAAAAAATCATAAAACTATTTATGTGGTTATATCTTTTATTTATACTTTCTATTTACAAAGACAGTCTCAAAACATACATTAGAAAAATAATTTAATAAATAAACATGACTTTAACATTATTAAATTAAAGCCTTTTTGTCGATATAATATTTTTTAACTTTATAAAATGGAATATAGACATAAGTAAGATATTCTTTATTTCGTATATCTTCAGGAAGCTTTTCTCCAGTTGGTAGTTCATCATCATCAATGGTTCTTCGGGGTCTGTTTATGATTTTTACATCATTTTCACCATTTCCCATAATCACTTCTTCATTCTTAGGTCTACACTCAACATATAGAATCAAGGCACATAGAAGTAACACGATAATTTTCTTCAACATTTCGAAGATGTTTCAAGCTTGATGTGTTAAAACTAAATGGTTATATTCGAGAATTGTTTTGTTTATATATATATAATAGATGATAATTTTGCTAATTCGATGTAATTTATATGACGCTGTACATTTATTTGAGGTATTGCATCATTTTAAACTAATATGGGCATTAAAATTTGCTTTTTATCATCTAAATTAAGAATAAGTCTATAAAATTATTCATTTTGATGCTTTTAAATATGCGGTTATTCTATTTTATATATTTGTTATAAAATATTAAATCCTTGAAGATCATTACCAAAACTAATTCACACATATTACATGAGTTACGCAAAATAATAAAACTGACAAACATCCAAACTGTTAAACATTATTTCCTAGATTTCAAATGGTTGTGTTCTATCAAACAAAAATGTTTAAATTAGGGCTTTTTATATGTATTTTTGTAGTTTGTGAAAGTTTTACTGTGAAAAGATCTGAAGAAATATCTTCTACAACTGAGAAAATTGAAGAAACGAAATTTTACGACAAGATTGTGAAAAATGGTAAAATTGCCTATGATAAAACCAAGAATTTTACGATAGATGCGTTGAATAAAACTGAAGACGCCTTTGTATATTTGTATGAAAATATACAAACAATTCCTGACAAATTTAAGAATGTTGAAAAAAGAAGTTTAAATGGGGAAAATAATGAGGATTTACAAGGAGAAGAATGTGGAACTTTTTTGATTAAATTTAAAAAACGCAGAAAATATAACTATAATAATTAAAATGTGTATTTTTGAGTTAATAAATATATCATACTTTTTACTGCCTTTTGAATACATAGTCACTATTATTATCTATTCCCATAGGCCACCACCTCCATTTTTTCACATTTAAGTTTATTTCTCTGGCTTCACAACAACCAATAATAATCACTAAACATATTAATATAAAAATTTTGAACCACATTTTTTGGTTTTGTTACTTTGTAGATGTTTTAATGACAACTAATTTTATAAATTGACAAATATTTAAGTTAACCTTAGTGGACTAAGGTTAATTTATACTAAATAAATGCACATATATATACAAAGTTTGGTCTATTTTGGAAATGTTTGTAAATATATTAAAATATGATAACAATGATAATTATAATTAAAAACAAATTAAATTATTTGTATGGTGAGTGAAGTTTTTACAAACTGATAAATTTAAATTAAAAAAATTATTGGTGAAAAATTTAATCAAAAAAAGAATTTTTTAATAAATTCTTTAAATAAGTAACATTATAAAATGTGCAAAATATTATTATCTATAAAACAAAATAAAACATAGTATCATGATAAACAATAGGTATAATTCAAAACAATAATATTATACAAAATAACCTATAACCACAGCATAACTTTGATTAAATTTTGTACTACAAATACATAAAATCTAAAAACTACATAATAATAAAAAAATAACAAGTATTTTAATAATTAATATTTAATATGTTGATATAAATATTTCGATAAAATAGTTATTATGACTTAAAATTTATTGATTTCAATTGAACGTTTTCCTCTTTTGAATGATCTTGGTAAAAATATGGCACCACTTGCAGCAGCATCCATATCATCTTCTAGATTAGCTGATCTTTTACCTCTTTTGAAACCTCTTGGTAAAAATATGGCACCACTAGCTGCTGCATCCATATCATCTTCTAAATTGACTGATCGTTTACCTCTTTTGAAAGATCTTGGCATGAAGATCGCACCACTGGCAGCCGTATCCATATCATCATCTAGATTAGCTGACCTTTTACCTCTTTTGAAACCCCTTGGTAAAAATATGGCACCACTAGCTGCTGTATCCATGTCATTTTCTAAATTGACTGATCGTTTACCTCTTTTAAATGATCTTGGCATAAATATCGCACCACTAGCAGCTGTATCCATATCATCCTCTAGATTAGCTGATCTCTTTCCTCTTTTAAAACCCCTTGGTAAAAATATGGCACCACTAGCTGCTGTATCCATGTCATCTAAATTGACTGATCTCTTTCCTCTTTTAAATGACCTTGGCATAAATATCGCACCACTGGCAGCCGTATCCATATCATCCTCTAGATTAGCTGATCTCTTTCCTCTTTTGAAACCCCTTGGTAAAAATATGGCACCACTAGCTGCCGTATCCATATCATCCTCTAGATTAGCTGATCTCTTTCCTCTTTTGAACGATCTTGGCATAAATATAGCACCACTAGCAGCTGTATCCATATCTTCTTCTAATTTAGCCGACCTTTCTTCCCGAAGAACAATATCATCCTCCACAGATCTTTTGCTGATAAGTTCTGACCCAGTCAAAAATGAATTTCTATCGGTTTTTAAAGATCTCCTTACGATTTTTTCTGATCCCATCAAAGAGTTCTCCATACCCAATCCTTTAGCAATGGATCTTTTGGATATCTGAACATCATCTTCAAGGGGTTTAAAATAGGCTTGTTGCACAATAGATATAACAACGAGAAAAATGAACGTTTTCATTTTTCACCGTGTTGTTTTATTATTCTTTCTTGTGTGTAACTTGTATTCTTAACTTCACAAAATAATCTGATACTTATATCAAGTTGATTTCCTTTTTATATTCAGCCTAGATTCTTCCTAATGAGTGTTAACCAATTTTGACGCTATTACTCGGGTAAACAAATTTGTTATTTTGCATTGCGTGTTAATTTTTTTCGACAACATCAAACAGAATTTTGAACGTCAATTGGGAGACTTTCTTTGTTTTTGATAATTATTTGCGTTTATAAACGTTCGTTATTTGCAGTTTTGATTGCACGATAATAAAGAATTATTTATGAAATGTGTTATAAGTAATTTGTTTGATTTTTTGCTGTGTTGAAAATTAAGTGAAACTATTATTATAATATAATAATAATATACATTTTTATATATTAGCTGTTGTTTTGATTAAAATATTTTATTTTTATAATTTTATGTCACATTTTATTAATAATACATAATGTCTGAAAATGGCGTAGGTACTAAAGTTTTAGAACGTGGGGTTATTTGGGATTTTTTTTTAAATAAAAAAACAATTTATTCAGCTGGTTTATGTAAACTGTTTCCAAAAGAACCGCTTTTATGATTGAAAACTTAAATCATTGTTATTAGATAAATAATAAAAATGGATAATTATGAAAAAAATATATTATCTATTTTTGAATCGTGATTTAAAAATTATTTTTAATCCTTAAATTATTTTTAAATATTATGTAAAATATTAAAATTCAATTTTGAAAAGTAAGAAAAATATGAGAAATAACAAATATTTAAAAAACAATTAAAACCAAAAGAAGAACATACATATATGTATATGTATTTTTCCATTTTAATCTTAAGTGAATTTTCTTATTGTTTTTTATATATATATAAAAAACAATAAGAAAATTCACTTAAGATTAAAATGGAAAAATAATGCCCAAGTAAAGAAAATAATTATAATTATATAAATATAATCATAAAAATACTCAAAGTATTTATAAAAATTATTGAAATATAATATACATATAGTCCTTCGGAGGGGACTTTAAGCCCGCGGTCCGTTCCTACCCCTAACCCGCTCAAGCCATTCAGTTGGCTTCTGGGACTTCTTAGAAAGTAAGGGTGGAACTAAAAGAGCACTTTTGTATATTAACTTTTTTTTTGTATGGGTGGCTTTCCATATGGGAAAACATTTAGGCATATTAGGCATATATATAAGCCCAATCGGCTGCGAAAAACGGACATAATTAATAATAATTTTGGAAATATTCTAAAACAAAGAAGCTTATAGCAATTGCTACTTTCCATTGCTTATACTGTAAAATCCGCAAAAATGCTAAACTTGTTGATTTTTTCATTTTTGGGTTCCACTATAGTGGAATATTGAGGGTCTATATATAGACCCTCAATATTTGAAGCAAATCTGAGACCGTTTTGCGTGGCCGATTAATAATGTATATAATAATATACGTAGGTACAAAAAAATTATAAATACTATTGGGTATATTTTAATAATTTTTATAAAGTGATCTTTTAACATTTTTTTATCCTTAAATTGTTGTTTACTGTAGTTTGGCATTATTTTAGCATTTCAAATTGAAATCTTCAATATTAATAAATTTTTTATTTTCTTTTTAATAAATTTTGTTGTTTTTTTATATTCGTGTGATATATGTACATGTATTTAAAAACTGCTAGATATTAAATATTATTTTTTCTTCTGTCTTAGTTTTAAATTGTTTTTTTTTACCTTCATAGGTAAAAAAATTACTTTTTTATTGTTATTTGTATTTCTTATATTTTTTAGTACTAAATTTAGGTCTTCAAAATTGAATTTTATATTTTTGATTTAGGTATTATTTATTCATTCATAAATATAAATATATAAGTACCTATTTAAGGATTCAAATAATTTTCTAATTATGATTCAACAATAGATTACTTTTTTATTGTTATTTGTATTTCTTATACTTTTTAGTACTAAATTTAGGTCTTCAAAATTGAATTTTATATTTTTGATTTAGGTATTATTTATTCATTCATAAATATAAATATATAAGTACCTATTTAAGGACTCAAATAATTTTCTAATTATGATTCAACAATAGATAGTTAATAATAATAATAATAATAATAATATGTAAAATAAAATTCTAAGCGAGATACTACAATTTATTAAACTACCTAAGTTAGGTATACCTGTATTGTTTGAAGTGACCATATATGGTCACTTCAAACAATTAGTTTATCCTGAGAAAATTAATATCATTAAACAGTTAAAAGATAAAAATTTATCTGTAAAAAAATTTAGGACAAAGTCAACTTTGCACAATTTTACAGTTCATTTGTTTCGCGTTGCCAGGCGTGCATCAACGTACATGGTTGGCTTTTGAAATTTTAATAATAAAGAGTGCGAGAGAGGAAAACATTAACCAATGCTTTTTAACTTCTAAAATGGCACAAGGCGTTCTTTCGGACGCCCGATTTAAGTCCATTTCATTAACATTGGGACGTCCAACTGGATTCCCTGCGGCAGCCTGTCGGCGTCCGACATCCTTGTGCTGTTTGGGTTAAAATATCTCGCTAACGAAGCCCGATCTAGGAAAAAGTTATGCTTAGTACCTATTCAATTTAATTTTAGTCCTCTACCCAGATAGTCAAATAGGGCAAAAATAAAGATATGCAATTGTTTTATTCGGCACGTAATTGCGTTCCTACACATTATAAAGTTATGTTATATAACATAACGCAAAAATTGTGTTATGATTTGGATATTAAAAAATAAATTGTCAAAATAATGCCAAACTAAGATATTATTTAAAAAATTTAATTTTGACTGATAATAGTTATTTACGTGTCAAGCTTTGTAAATGAATCTTTACGGGCGAGCTGGGAGTTTGTGGGGTGAGCGATGCAGGAGCGAACCCCATAATTCAGTGAGCCTAGTAAAGATTAATTGCAAAGCGTGACACGTAAAAACTTTTATTTTCACCTTAAGACAACGATTTTCAAATTTAAAATTTCAATTAATGTGTCAAATGTGTCATTTCATTTCATAAATTGCTTTTCTACAGGCCTGTAAAACTTTACAGGTCTTTTTTACAAGCCCGTAAAATATTACAGGTCTGTTCCCATAATGTATCGTTTACTTGGATACAAAAATAACAAAATGTCATTTACTAAGAAGGTGGAAATAAAAAACAATAATAATATATGGAAAATCATGTCATTAATTTCTATTAACTTTAGTTCAAAAAATGCTATAAATAGAAACATCTACAAATAAATTATTATTGGAATATTGATCATTGATAATTATAAATCGGCATAACGTAAATTCCGAAAAAGATAAAAATAAATAAACATTGGATAATATCTACATAGCTATGTCAATATAACACAGAATTATGAAAATTCCTTACCTTTTATGGAATAGGTATTTTCTTAGACGCAAAATTTTAAAAATATGCAACTATACCTAATTGCAATTTATTTATTTAGGTTCTTAATTTATTAGAAATTATACAGTGTGACCCAGTAATATCTTTATTTACCACCCCTCAAAACGATCCTATATTAAATTTTATTGGTTTTACACTGTTGAGTTCCAGGTTCGTAGCTACCGCGGTATCAGCCGTATCAATGATACGGCGCCCCCGGCTAGGGTGGGGCCACGATTGGCTTCGACCCTGATAGCACAGTTTATTCTAAGAATGTTTTTTAAACCTTCCAGTGGGAATATTCTTAGTATCATGCTATATTTCTTCTAGTCATGTTCTAAGAATGTTTTTTAAACCTTCCAGTGAGAATATTCTTAGGATCATGCTATATTTCTTCTAGTCATGTTCTAAGAATGTTTTTTAAACCTTCCAGTGAGAATATTTTTAGGATCATGCTATATTTCTTCTAAAGAACATGCTTAAAAGAAATATAGCATAATCCTAAGAATATTCTCATTGGCCTATAGGCAGGTTCTTAGAAGGTGCAAAGTTTAGTGGTAAAAATGAATCCACTCTAAACATATGCTTGGAATGTTGAGAAAGTAATTGCCTTAGAAAGTTAATTTAGGAATATTCCTGGAACATTCTGTTAAGTAGAGGAAGTGGGGGTAATTCGGAATACTGTTGGTAATTTGGAATACTTAAATATTGAAGCTATGCTTAGCGCCATCTCGTTAAATATGAAATAAACTACTAGAATAGCCTGTATTTTGTGGACATGTGATTTTGTAGATATTTTGATTTATGGTAGAGGGCCAACACATGTGAAAAATTAATTGTGGGGTAACTAAAACTTTTTTAGTGGTAATTAAATCGGCAATTATAGCTTCGATTTTTATCTTTAAATTAACTTAAATTGTATCCTCAGGTAAGTAAAGGGTTATATTTTTAGTTGTTAATTGTACTTTTTCGATATGTTAAAGCATTTACTTTTTTTTACATATTATGGCGTAGGTCTTTATATTGCTAATTTGGAATACTATAAATAATGCAAATTTGAAATATTCCAAATTATATTCATTTTTTGTAATATTTGATAATCAATCCAATTTTCTCTTTTAATTTATATTTGGTTACCTTTTTAAAATGTTTTATTAACCTTTTTAATATAAAACATTTGCTGCTACTTTGAAATATTCCAAATTGGTGGTATTCCAAATTAACTTCATGTTACGTAAACAGAGATTTTTTACACTTTTTTTTTCATTAGTGAAAAGATCCTTTTAAAGTATTTTAAATAGTTTAAAATTTTCGTATGGCATAGTACAAATGTAGATCTTGGACATGTTATTTATTTTAATCGAAATAATTTAAAATTAAATTTTTTGCAATTTTTTTTTTAAACTACTATTCCAAAATACCCTCACTTCCTCTATATTCAGTTCAGTTAGGTACCTATATAATAGTAAAATATACCATAATCTACGTATAAAAGTACCTATACTTAGTATTAAATACTAAATAAAAAACACAACCCAAAATATTTTTTTATAGTTATTTGTCAAATTAAATCAATATTCGATAACAAAAATACTTTTACTATAGGTATCTAAATTATCCGGCTTTTAC